TACTGCTTAAAAACATTCGTGTAAAACACTTGACGTAATCAAACAAATTAATACTAAATGTAGATTTAAGATTTTGCCCAAATAAATGTTTTTTTTTTAAGTAATCTTGAGCGTCGAAATGAAATTCAAGCGAAAACATAAAAGTTACAATGAGAGGAACACGAACAAAGGCATGTTCACTCTGATTGGCTGCGACCCTGTTTGTGAACGGACTTCGAGTCAAAGGAAACAGCAAGAGGAGGATCAAGAGCAGAGGTGGGTAGAGTAGCCAGAAATTGTACTCAAGTAAAGAGTACTGCTACTTTAGAATTTTATTACTCAAGTAAAAGTAGAGAGTAGTCACCAAAATATTTACTTGAGTAAAAGTAAAAAGTATGTTGTGAAAAAACTGAGTGGAAAGTACTGAGTAACTGATGAGTAACCTGTTCGTTTAATGATGACGGCAACAAATAATGCACAAAACATAAAAATAGCAATGAACAAATTCAGAGCCAAAAATATCTCTTAAGCAACTAAAACAATAATAAATTAAATAATAATACATTAAAATTGTCGCGAAGCGCTCGTTGTTGCCATTGTGTTCTGCTTCTTTGCTGCCGGTGTTTGCCGCTGAAAGTTCGTGTGCAGTTAGTCATGTGACCGCCTGGCTGTTTGATTGGTGAAACGGAGTCAAACGTCACCAGTGACTGCATTTGATTGGTGAAACGCAGTCATGCGCTGGATCCTACTTTGGAGGTCTCTGACAAACCAAAACAAACAAAGCGTGCATTAACAGATCGATAAAAAATATGTAGCGAGTAGCGAGCGTAATGTAGATAAATGGAACGGAGTAAAAGTAGAGCTTCTTCTTCACAAATATACTCAAGTAAAAGTAAAAAGTATGTTGCATTAAAACTACTCTTAGAAATACAATTTATCCCAAAAGTTACTCAAGTAAACGTAACGGAGTAGATGTAGCGCGTTACTACCCACCTCTGAACATTACCACAATTACAGCCTCCACAATGACCATTAAAATAAACCAACACTTCTCAAACAGATTCAGAAAATACTGATTATAATCCTCATGAAGGAGGATTTACTGCAACCCTGTTCCATTATACTGCATTAGTTTCATTCAGGTTCACCTAATACATAAATATGAATTAAAACTAAAAATCAAGGACATTTACAAATGCTGAAACAAATCAGCCATTTATTTAAAGTTTACACATTATACAACACTTAATGAAATGCATTCCTTTGAACAGAATGGTAATGGGGTTAATGGGGCATAAATACGTGACTGCAGATTGCCTTAAAAAGGTACTGTTGGAGGAAAAAAGTAGTCCGGGCGAAAGTCTAAGTCTAAACCTCTTCAACACAAAACTGCACTTTTACTGGAGTCAAAAAAGATTCAAAATAAGAAGGCACTGGAGATTGTCAGAGTCCAATGCAAGACAAATTATAAAATTCCTGACAAAACAGGTCCGGTTCGGAGTCCACTTGCACGGCGGGGCGGCTCTAGAACGGATCAGGATTACGGATCCAGACCACATCCGTATCCGGATCCGATATGGACCCGTGCATTGAAGTGTTTAATTCGGTCCTGACTCGTTCTGGATCCCATATTCAAAATGGCTCATCCGGCTACAACTAGAACTAAATGTAAACAAAATCTGGCGATGTTATATTTTGCAAAAACACTGGTAAAACGCACTTGATTGTAAATGAAGTTGGTGATTATAGCAGATTTAAACTGCATGATTTAATGGCAGAAACATTAGATTATATATTATGATATATATAATATCACACAACAAATAATAGTTGAATATAGTATTTAACCCTTGCTGCATTATGTGGGAAAGAGCAGAAGAACAATTTTTATTTATTAGTTATACTTCCTTTTTATTTATTAATAATATGTCTTGTACTTCATATTTAAAAATAAGTTGGGCTCGTCCGGGATTTGAACCCGGGACCTCTCGCACCCTAAGCGAGAATCATACCCCTAGACCAACGAGCCACATATACACAAAATTCAACATTGATTTCCAGAGTTCACTGTATATGCCACGTTGTATGGACTTCTATGTTATCCCCTGATGTTCACAGTACAACTTTACATCTCTCTGGTGGCCGAGTGCCACCTACTGGCGCTTTATCATACTGCAGCGTGCTCCACTTCCACCAGACCTGCAGCAGTAGTGCAACATCACCATTTCAGCAGGAATGGAAGAGAAATACCACTTTGAAATAATCAGACCAGATAACCCTAACCCTAACCCGAGGACGTTCTTCCTACATAATTATATATTCCCAAATACTGTTTACACATGATAAATCACCCGTTTTCTAATTGATCTTCATTATGTTGGACTTTCTTCCACACATAATTGTTGTTCTTTGTAGCCTTAGTTGAGACGAATATGTGTGATTAGTTGTTCCACATTCAGAGGATGTGGACAGACCAACTCTAAATTGAGAGAAAATTAAGAAGTCTAATCTGCACTGTTGATCTGTTGGTATTTAAATGAAGCAGTTTCTTGCCCAAACAAATATTTCAGTATAAATAAGGGCTCGTCCGGGATTTGAACCCGGGACCTCTCGCACCCTAAGCGAGAATCATACCCCTAGACCAACGAGCCACATGTACATTGTTATTTGACTGACACTTTAGGACTTTACAGGGTGCCACGTTGGTCATCTCAAAATATCATCCTGTTACTGAGCACCATCTGCAGGACACTTACGGTACTGCAGCCGAAACTGCAATATCACGTCTACAGCAGTTTCCCAGTCAAATATCACGCTGTTTTACAAAGTCTATGACCAAAACAAATAAAATGATATAAATAAATATAAAAATAATCAAAAGTACTTCAAACACAAACACCTCTTTGAGGTACTACTACAGAAAAATTGTTCTTATTAATTATTATATATTCATGATATTTATCTGACTGATTTATCTGAGTAACACAAGTCAAATTCTGATTTTACATTCAAAACATTGTGAATTTAATATGACACATTAACATTATTTGTCTGGGTGTGTGTGGCAGCCCTCCCTCCTACTGTACCAACCACTGGGTGATATGGATCAAATCTTCATTACAGAAATAAATGTAATTTTATGTTATACATTTTCTTCGATAGCCAAATAGTGTGACATAGTTTGTGCATTTGCAGGGCATTAAGCTGATAAACAGTTAAAAACATTTAGATTAGATGGGAATGTGCCAGTTTTTGGTTCATTTAGAGATCAAAGTACTTTATCTCATTGATGCATATGTATCCTGTAAATCTAAAAAGGGCCTGATGATTTACCTCAATATAACCTGAATAACAAATTGGCTGACAATTCTTGTCAAGGTACACTATATAATTTCTTCACGCTGTAAACTGTGTACTTTAAAAAGCACCAAACCTAGAGCTTTCAGAGCCGTTAGTCCACACGTCTGTCCAGTCTGTGATCCAGTCATGGCTCACAAAATGGCATTTTATTGCATTTTCAGTTCACACCATCAAAGAAAAGAGAAGGCCATCCGCTTATAAAAATACAACACACCGGTCTGTATCTCCAAATACCATGAAACAATATACATTTCTATATGATGCCCTCATATACAGTATGACATTATTCCCTGTTTTACTGATATATATATAAACGTAGTATTAGTTAATATAATATAATAGTAGATATAGTATATATATACATATATATCTATATATATATAATACGTATTATATATATATATATATATATATATCGATATATTATATATATATAATATATATTATAATTATTATATTATATTTATACTATCTACAATATATAGTTATATATTTAGTATTTTAGTGTACCATCTCTTTGACATAAACTGAATAAGAAAAGGCAACATGCAGGTGATAGCAGCACATTTAAAAACACATACCAAGTAAAAGAGAACATTCAACACAACATGACGAGACAGCTTTGAACCTCAAAAAAAAAAAAAAAAACATAAAAAAAAAGAAGAAAGAAAGATGATGAATATTTTAGAGGTAGTGCTCAGTTTTAACCACAGGATGAAAAGGTGATCAAATTAAAAAGGTCATGGGTTTTACTGAGCCAGACAGCAGTGTGTTTCTTTGTGTCTACTGAAACAAATGTCACTACACTTTATATACTTTATATATACTGTAATTTTGCAGGAATATACCTGTTACTTTGGTTTAAGGGGCTTTTTTTTCTTTTTATTTATTTATTTTTTACTGTTGTAGTTCCTTCTAATGACCACTAGAGGTCATGCTTAGCTTAACTTGATGCCTTTTCAACCTTCAACACTGGCACTGAGAACACTTGATAGTTGAGTCAGCTTCGCAGAGAACACTCACAAATAAAAAATAAAAAAAAAAGGCATTTGCTATAACAAGGTTCAACTATAGAATAAAGAGCTTCTGTGCATTGATATGACAACATATGAGCACGTGGGGTTAAACAGCTCATGTAAACATTGCTTTTCTGTGCAAGAACATGTTCCTACATCCACAAATCAATATTACTGTCATGTGCTCGGCCGATCTGATTCGGTCATGCACAGAATTTAAAGTGTGTTGTCTCTGATGATCTGAATCCTTTCTTTCACTAAACGAATACTGTGTTGGAGGTCATTATATTGCTGCTGTCACCATTTTAATTTTCACTGGGAATTACATTTTCCAAGTTCCTCTTTGTATTGAGCTATTCCCACGACTTCCAGGACGTCGTCTAAAGGAATCGAGGTGACAGGCATGCTGGGATAGCTCCAAAGAAAAACACTATGTCTCTCTATGTGAACCTGGTTTGTGGTATGTATATATTACAATACAAAAAATAATTCTATGAATAACAATAGTAACAATAATGTGCAAATTATGAAGATGGAGTGAACGTTTGTGTCTTTCCATAAACTCACTTTTGGTTATTCTTTCATAATACAATAACTCAGAACATCAGAATTGACTGAAACAGACAAAACACACTAGAGACAGGCTGATGCTGCTGCGTAGACTTTTAAAACAGTTCATTCAGGAGATGTAAAATGTCTTTTTAAAAGGCTTTTATAGGGTAAAGGGGGGTGGGGGGTTCAGAAGATGACTCTGGTGGGATCCAGGGCGAGTGGAGGGGCTAAATAGTGACCAGTCTCTACTGGCGACAAAGGTTTAGGTCGGTGTTAAAAGCCTGACAGGCCAGAGACTAGAAGGGATGGGAGGAGAAGGGTGGACTGGGTGGTAGGTAGGGAGGTGGGTGGGTTGGGGGGGTTGAACTTGGGGGTGGAGTTATAGAACCTTCTGGAGGATGGCATTGGGCACTTCCAGAGTCTCGTCCTTCACCAGGACGATGTCATAAGAGTCCAGATATTTGTCCAGTCGCTCTTCCACCTGCAGGGTCAGAGAGGGGGAAAACTGTGAGGAGACACAGGTCACGTGACACGACTCTCCAAGCGGCCTCTGCCACTGTCACCGTCACCATGGAGATGAAGCAGAAAACAAGCAGTGCTCAAACAATGTTTTCAGCTTTTAAATGACTAGTACTAAGGGAATTCTACATTTTGCAATTTCATCTTTTGCCTGAAAACTAGGAACCATCAAGAACACATGTACAGACTTTTAATATCTTAAAAATCCGGTCAGGAATCAGACTCTTACTGGAAGTGGCAAAATGTGGCTGTGAAGCAGAGACAATGTACAATGACAACAAGATGTAGGTCCCTGGTCGTGTGTTGTGGCTGTACCTTGTCGTTGAGGAAGCCGATCTTGAGGATGTTCTCCACATTGGGCGCGCCGTCGGCCATGCTGAGGTCCCCCAGCGAGTCGCCCATTAGGATGATGTTGCAGTATTCCTTCACCTGTTTGAAGTACTCCGTGTTCCGCAGGGCACCATCGTGTTTGTTGTACACGTGGATCAGCTCGCCTTTGAAACCCTTCAGAATCCCCTACGAGATGAAGAACACGAGCAATGAGGAACGTGAGCCGGTATATTTCTGTTGTCACGATTTTGAACCGGAGTCACCAGCTTAACTCACATTATCATCGAACTCCATGAAGTTGGAGACGACCTTGACGTTGGGGTGGTAGACTCCGGCCTGGCGGATGATTTCTTCCAGCACGTCGCCCAGGCCGGCGGAGAAGATGAAGACAGGCACGTTGTGCTGCTGCAGGCGGTCAAAGAACTGCTCATAGCCTTCCCTGAAACCCAACACAGAGAAGTCAGTCACAGAGAAATCAGTTCATCACTCACTCTGCTCTGCGCACAGGAGTCACACTTTTAAGTTAGTGGGAAATCTCCATTACCAAGTCTCTCTCTACCAATACCTGAGTGCAGCGTCAGACTCTCTCACCACCTCTGGCAGTTTGTCTTTCTCTAGCCGCTGCTCCACAAGCAGCGTGTGGGACTTGAAATACCTGCAAACACACACACACACACACACACACACACACACACACACACACACACACACACACACACACACTTTTAGTAATATATGTCTCTGATCGCCGCAAGTCTGACAACTTAAGAAAAAGATGACTGTGTGTGCTTGTTATATGAGAGTGAGCGGTTTTAGTGTGTGTGACTTACCACTCCACCATGAACGGGTACTTCTCCTCCATGGTGAGGTTAGGGTCGATCTCGATGGGATAGTATTTATTCTTCAGCTGCAGCAGCTTGTGCCTGCACTCCTCTGTTACCAGCTTACAGTTATCAATGATATCTGCAACAATAAAATGCACGTTTCAATCAGGCAAAAAAAAACAAAAAAAACATATTGAAATTGAGAATTTAAACTCTTCCCAAAAAATAAAGTTGAAAAATAAACACTAAAACATGATACTAAGGAACGTCTCTTGTTGAACGTACTGTGACACGTTGGACAGCGTTTGCCATTGATGGCGAACTTGCTTAACGTCATGTCGAAGTCTGTGATGATCTGAAACAGAGTCAAGAACACTTTGTCTTTCACTGGAAACGGAATCTACTTTTCCAGCTAATGGCCTTCACGCATTAACTACAGGTCCTCCTCCAAAAACCTGTGTTGCCTCTAAAACACTGTGTGACTTGTGAGCGTCACCACCACTAGGTGGTGCCGTTTCACCAAAACACTGATTGACGGGGTGACGTCAGCACTTGATGTTCTACCTGTAGTTTGGAAGCTCCTCCCTTGATGAGCCCACATATGATCTGCTCCACCCTCTCAGGGTCTCTCATGTGTACCGTGGTCTTCTCAAACTGAGGCATCTGGAGGGAGAGAACGAAAGAGAGAGAGAGGAAGGGGGATCAGTTAAGACTTGGCAAACAAGAGGACCGTAAAACAGCATGAAAGATATTTGATCTGCATGACCGTGTCACCTCCTGAGCAGACGCTTCAGGAGATTAACTACAGAGCTCTCAGCCTGCAGGTTATCTACCGTTCGAGCCCTGGTATGAAATAAAAAGAGGAGGACAATGATGGACTAAGAGTTTGCATGTTGAGAAATTGGGCTGAATTTGATGTATGTATGTTGTTATGTGTGTTCTGTTTTGAATATACACAGTGTACTCAAAGATTCAATCTAAAATGACCAACATTCCTCTTCGACGCTGCCTTCAGTGTATTTGAACACACTGTTCCTGCTTCAGACACACCCACCCACACCCACACCCACCCACACACCCACCCACACACGCACCCACACCCACACCCACACTCAACACGACACACACACACACACACACACACACACACACACACACACACACACACACACACACAACACACTCTCCTGGAGCGGGTTTCGGGGTCACGGAACAGCTGATGTTTGGAATCTGTCGGTGTTGCGTAACAAGCAGAGTGAACACCCAAACAGACGCGGTAACACCCGGCAGAGAGGAGAGGCGAACTTCAGCCCTTCTTGTAACTTCATCTTCGTCAACATCAGCTCTGACTGACGAGTGCAAACATGGACAAGTCTGAGAACCGCTGTGAGACATACTGCCCGGATTAAAAAACAACAAAGGTTTAAAGAAAGTGCAGCTGATGGTGAGCATGAAGTAAATTTATCTTTGATTAATTCTGACTAATCAGGGCATGGTGGTGAGTTACTGTATGCTAACTTCTCTGAACAGACCGTTAGTGTCACAGAGGAGTCGTCGTGAGATGCTGCTGTCAGTGAAAGCCGCACGATGACAGCCACACCTGTGAACCACACCTGTGAACCACACCTGGACAGTCAACTGCAGCAAAATCCTGCAACGACAAAACCAGCCTCAGCCTCTGAGTGACGGCCGCCTGCGGGCTCAGTCTGTCTGACACGGAACGCCCACCGGGAATGAGTGTGTGTTTGTGCAAAAACGCTAAATTAGCCTGTTAAATAACGATGTCACTTGAGTTACGCCGTGCCTGTAATGAGTAAGGAATGAGTATGTGAAGCTGGCTGTGACATGGTGACATGGTGTACCAATACAATGGTAGTGATTTGATTAGGAGATAAAGTCATTTGCACACACTTGAGCCAAAACAAGCAGCTGAAGAATCCTGTTAAAGTTTGTAAGTTACTCTTCACTGCAGATATAACATTTAACAAACCACAGGCTGAATTTATTGGCCAATAATACATGATTTCTATTTTCTTTTTTAACAAACTACTGTTTTAGAAAATGGGATAATCGTCTATGTTTAGTGTCTATGTGTTTATCTAGTCTATGCATACATAGATCTACACAGACATAAATATAGAAAAGCTTATAAGCTCTTTCTGATGCAACAAGGTCGACAGTTGAATGTTTTTAGGAGGGGCAACAAACAACCTGTGCATATAGTAGATGTATACTGTGCTGATAGAAAGGAAACAAGTGTGTAACTGAAACACACAAACACACACAACCCCACCCAACACAACTTTTCCCCCAGGCTTATATAATCAGCACTGGGCTGCTTAGCACCTCATACATCACTCTGATCCTACAGAAACATGACACTCAGAACACAAACTAAATATAAACCTCAGTTCCTTTATTATTAACCCTCTCATACACACACACACACACACACACACACACACACACACACACACACACACACACACACACACACAATTATCTCAGCGCACAAAACTACCTACACAACTTCACATCTGTTGGGTAAAGTGGGTAAAGAAGAAGAGCCTCCCTCCTGGTCTGACAACCTCACATTTGTTTTAAATGACAGGTTTTCAATGGGTTGCCACAGGGATGACCTATTTAAACATGCTCTGCATTTACAGGGACACAAAGGCTGCAGTTTAGGAACACATATGAAAAGGCAGCAGAGTTGGTGTTTCCCCTGACGGCAGTGAAATTCAAACCTGCTCTTCCAATCAACTTTGAGCGAATGAAAAACTGCTGCACGACTGACAATGACATAAAACTGTCTTCTGGAAACACTGAACGCAACATTGCCAGATATTTTTTGCACAATTTAACAGACATGACCTTATTAGCGAAAACCAGATTGTTAACAATATCAGAAATAAGGGGTTTGGGAAAAGCCTGCATCTCTGGGATAACATTACAAGCAGCAAATACTCAAAGGTCAAAGGGCAAAGCATCCTAATGACAGTAGAAGGGGCAAACATTCAGGAGGGTTTTCTTACCTTTGAGAGCAAGGAATTTTAGCGCTAAATGCTTTTTTAACTTTCATTATGAGCCAGAAATGGAGCTACAGCCTGGAGCATTAAGTTACACACAAACACAGTCAAATGTACACACACAAACAAACAAACAAACACACACACACACACTTGCTTACCTTGGATCTGTTGTCTCAGCTAACGCAAGAATGAAGAAAAGATTGCAAGGCTGCAGAGGGCTTATATAGCTACAGCAGCAGCCAGGGAGGGGGGGGGGGCACCAACCAGCATAGATTAGACAACATAACCCCTCCCACTGTATAGACAGGGTCCAACACACACACACACACACACACACACACACACACACACACACACACACACACACACACACACACACACACACACACACACGGTGACAATTTCAGCGGACCCATGTCAACACACTCCAACATACACACAGTTCAGTATAAATAGACATGGGATGGGACCAGTGGAGGAAAAGTAACATTTGTAATCCACTCTTGTTCCAGTAATGTGACCTTTGACCCCTTGAAAAAGGAACCTTTAAAATCAATCAGAGGCAAGGGGGAGGCGGGGGGGACTGGCTTCAGGCCTCCGACTGCTGAGCACACACATTTTAACACACAACACACACCCCTCCCCCAACAAACACACACACACTCGCAGTAAATAGCTTAACGCCGCATGAAAGGTCACAAGGGTCAAGGTTCAATTTGAGCGTCAGGCCGTTCGGTCTTACAATGGTCAGTCACAAACGACACACACACACAGCTCGTGGACCTGCCGCACACACACAGGTAATATACAATGTCTTACGCTTAATGTTTCTGCTGCTGCCCCAATATATTAGTCACACAAACATACACATGTAGAAACAGGCAAACTGCAGCGTCTTTACATTTTTCCAGTTACGTCTGAACATGTCCATCATTTTGTTTTAATTGAATGTATACACACACACACACACACACACACACACACACACACACACACACACACACACACAAGTATTCAGGTTAATCAGGTTCTTGTTTCAAAGCCGCTGCATAAACCTGAGGCCAAAAGATGTGAACGCCAATAAAACCTTTAAAATTTATTAATTTAAAACATAATTAAATTCAACTGAGAATCAATATTGAAACCTATAACTGGTCTTGTGATTAATGAGGATACACAAGTTTGAAGTGATGAAACAAGACAGGGAATGTGATGCATCATTATCACAACAACAACTGTAAACAACTGGCTCATGTTAAAAAATAACACCGAGTAAAACAGGGGAAATGAGATGCAGCGTGAGCTTCTGTTCGTCTGTTCACAGCTTCCACGAGCAGGATGCAGGCAGTGTTCAACCAATCCGTTATTCAGAGAACTAAATAAGGTATTTGTGCAACATTTGAACCTTTGTTCAACACCCGGGCTCATTTTTTGCTGAACAAGGCTTCGTTTCATGCCGCGCTCTGGACTGTTGGGAGTTGCTGTAAGAAAGCGGAGACTGGAACACGAGCCCGCCTCATCCTCTCCTCCGCTGACCCCGACTGCCTTGCATACCACAACTCCCAAAAACTAGGTCAACACTCTAAAATGTAACCACAATAACGGTGCAAGTCCCAGCTGCAGGCCATCTTCATAGAGACACAGCTCCCAGCGTTTTACTCTCTGTTCCAATGCAATGCCGTGCAACCCCCCCCACCCCCCTGGCTTTGGTCCCATTCACAAATCATTTCAAATTTTTAGTTTGACAAGTCAAAGTACCCCGAGCATCTCAAGTCGAGAAAAACATTTGGCGCCAATGTGGTGGTAATTCTACTGCGCTATAAAAGAAGAGGGCGAGTAAAACTGTGACTGAACTGCCAACAACAAATACAGAGCAAAGATTTAGTCTTTCTTGTTTGTTTCTTGATCAGCTGCAGCGATTTAACAAACCGCTCAGAGGAATATCAGTTTGTTTTTGATTAAGTGAATGTGGCTCACCAAAACACGTGACCAACTAGCACATACTGTACAGCAATGTCCTTCCCCATGCAAAAAATACCTCATTGTAATCAGGCTCAGAGCTGTGTGCTTTGCTTCCACTGTGATCATTAATTTATGTAGCTTTTGTACCCAATGGGTGTTAAAATTCCCATATAGTCCAAAGGTTTCTGTCCATGTGTAGTTTGATTATAGATCAGGTCTAGGTTCAATATTAATACTGTGAAAGTAACAAAGCCTCAGTCCACAGAGGAATGCACACAGCCTGTATTCAGAAACTGAGCCTTAAAACCAGCCAAGGACTTATGCAACTATGTGATGTCACAACAAAGCAGTGACCGCTCTCAGCCAAGTCCCAAGCCCCGCCCATCTGGACCCACCATCTTGCAGGATTTGGTTTCTCTGAGTATTTTACCTGAAATCTGCTTTTATTAGATCACTCAGAAAACAGTCAGCCAATCAGAAGAGATGCTCAGAGCCTCCTCTCTTCTGATTGGCTCACCGACCTGTTGTTGCTAGAGCTCCAGAGAGAAGCCTGAGAGAGGAGATGTAAAACTACACTGAGATGGTTTTTGGTTCTTTAAACCACAAATATATCTTATTATGGATCAACACTTCAAATAAAACACAGAAGAAGAAAATATAGCTTTAAAAAGTACTTCATCAATGGTGGTTTCGCTGTTGTGGAGCAAAGGGAGGAACTACCCAGTATCAGGATGGAGTTCCTTTTCAATCTCCGTCCAAAACCTCATAGACGGCTGCTTCGCCCGTCTTCCGCTCTCTTCAACAAACAAATTAAGAGAATAACAAGCTCTATAGAAAACAGGTTTCACCCTGGCTCAACACCGTCACTCACTGCCAACACGCGTCGCCTTCAACCTCCACACGTGAGCCTGCGAAGAATTTTACAACAACATAATCTGTCACATGAATGCAAAGGTACAATCAAGTCCCGACTCCATGTGATGGTGTTTTCACATGTCACATTAAACATGGTGGTTTAATTATTGCCCCTGTAGAGAGGGTGTTGTTATGATAAATGCAGTGTGTCCGGACAATCATTACACCGAGAAATAGACAAAATAACAGATAAAAAAAATAAGGTGAGGAGTGAGGATGAAAGGTTGTTTGGTGGAGGGAGTGGAACTGAAATTGAAGAGAAGATGAGCGGAGCTAAATTTGCCAAAGGTTGCTGTTTGAATACTGCTTTGCATGTCGCTGTAGAACACAGAAAATAACCGTTATCAGTACCACTGACTTTTCTAACAGCTGTCGAATCTCCTCTTCGACCTTCTCCCAGCATTACTTTTGAATTCCCACCCAGCAATTCCTCTGAAATCCCACCTTGATCTGCACGAGTCCGAAAAAAAAGGTTACTGATAGGTTCAGGCTCCTCTGAGCCAGCCTTGGCCTGCCGGGGTCAAAGGTCATCAAGACAAAGTGCAGAGTCCTGTTGAGTGTTTCCCCAACCCCTGACAGGTGACAGTTGTTTATTTCTTGAAACAACCTCAAAGATGACTGACCCCGGAGCTGTTTCAACCAGATCCACCACTGACACACAAGAGTACTCACACTGACAGTACTGCAACCTCTTCTACCAACACCCTTAATACTAATACTACTACCACTACTACTACTACTACTACCACTACTACTACTACTACTACTAATGATGCTTCTGCAGCTTTGGAAACCTCTACTGTATTTATTACATCTACTAATCTCTTACTACTACTACCTTTCCTCATACTGCTGATATTGATATTATAGCAACTTTTTGCTACCACTACAAGTACGACTACTACTACAAGCCACTACCTTTTTAACATCTGTTAATACGACTTCTGACCTTCCAACTCTTCCGCCTACTACTGTAATAACTGCAAAGTGTCTCAAACTTTTACTCCAACTCTCACAAACTCCCTTATCGTCACAAATACAAGCTCTCTACTATCCGAACGGTGACAATCTTGAATGTGTGTATTGAAATGAGTACATCTAACCAGACATTAATCCAATCCTCATTATTTTACTAACAGACTGGGAGCATGGGGTGGTTATAACAGGAGCATCATTAATGGGTGACATAGTGCCTGTTTTTGCATGGAGGTCTTTAATCAGTTTCCTTTGGCCCCACTAACACTATGATCTGCTGTAACAGTGGTAGTGAAAGCCATCTGCTGCCGCTGATAAAGCAGCATGGCCTCTGGAGGAAGTGTTGCATGAGGCCGGACCCGCCTGAGTTCGGCCTTAAAATTCTTTCCCCAATTCATTTTCTTTGCAAATCCGTCTAATACATCACTTTGTAAGAGTCCTTTTATGTTCATCACTGACTAAAGAAATGCTCCCACTACTGACTGACTGTTATTAAAAATATACTGCATGTTCTCAAACTTTCACAATATCGTGCAGTGCAAGACATTTTGTTAAAATTACTACTTATTAACCCACAAAATGTCTTCTGAATAGTCTCTCTGCATGTCAAACCCAAACGCCGCAGTTACTGCAGCTTCATGTGAAAACAGCAAAATCATTTCAATGTGTGAAAGGTTCTGGGAGTTGAATGTTCACAGGTAGGGTAAAGGGCCTGAGTAATAATGGGTGACCTTAGCATCTGTTTTTGCACGGAGGTCCTTCATCAGTTTCCTATAGTCTCACTCACACTATGAGTTGCTGTAGTTGTCGTAGCGACAGCCATCTGTTGCTGCTGATAAAACGGCATGGCCTCAAGAGGAAGTGTTGGACACCGCACCAAGAGGCTGAACCCTCTTCGCTTTCCAAATTCATTTAGTAACTAACAACCCTAACCAACTAACTAACTAACTAACCTTAACCTTAACCCCCCAAAGATCACTTCAACATCGAACCACCAACCCCTGCGTTCGGTGGAGAACCGGGGCCGCAGCCTCACATCCTCTTCACGCCTCCCAAATCATTTTCATTGCAAATCCTTCTGATGCGTCACTTTGTATCACCTCTAATGTCCCCGATAACTGGAAAACTTGTGCTGCTGCGCTCTCTACTTTAAAAAGCATCAGTTCAAAAACTCAGACGTGATAAAACAAACATTCTTTCCCTTGGGATCCTCTTTGGGAACACATGAGCCCAGTGTGTGTGCAGCCATCCTTCGAATCAAACCATTATATCTACTGCACACTGCACTGTACAGATAAATGAGGAACTGCACGTCTCGT